CGGTGCAGCGTCTCGCTGGCGCTGGGGAGATGCGATGGCTCGCTGTGCGAGTGCGGCACGTCCTGTGCTGTTGTTTTGACCACGTGAGGTTGCTTCATGGCAGCTAACTATGGCGTGTGCTAGTTTGTTTTAATAGCCACGTGTGCTTGCCTTACGCCTGCCGCAGAGGCGAGCAGTGAGCGACGTGTCGATGTTTACTATGTGAGCAAATCCAGCGGTGTGCTGATGAATACTGTTGAGTCGTATCCATTTTATTACGATTCTGGGCCGAATGCCCTCTCATCAAAGATTGTATTGTGGCAAAAGTGTAAAAATACCCCCATGATCATGTGAGGAAGATCCCCGATCACCAAGTTACTTGAGATTTAGAAGTCATAGTTGATGACAGTGGTAGTGAGACCAAATTTGATTAAGAATGCTTGTATACTCATACTCAAAACTTTAGACCGCACCTCATGAGTAACATGTGGCGATGGGTCTGTAAGGAATCGTTGGTGCGATTCTAGTCTGTGTTGGTGCACAGAGCCTCTCATGCGTTGTAGCATGTTTGGCGGCAGATATGTAGAGAATCGTTGGTGCGATTCTGGCATATGTGGCGGCAGATGTGTTGTAGCATATTTGGCGGTGGATATGTGGAGGATCGTTGGTGCGATTCTGGCATATGTAACGGCAGATATGTAAAGAATCGTTGGTGCGATTCTGGCCTGTGTTGGTGCACAGAGCCCCTCGTGTATTATAGCATATGTGACGGTAGATATGTGGAGAATCGTTGGTGCGATTCTGGCATATGTGACGGCGGATATGTAAAGAATCGTTGGTGCGATTCTGGTCTGTGTTGGTGCACAGATTTCAATGAAAGTTTCACGAGTTGAATATGCATTGCTTATGAATTGTAAAGAGTAAAAAAATTGTTAAAATTACTGTGTTGGAACTTGTTGATCGGACCTTTCACAATGAACCTTGTTGTGCAGGAAGCACTGTGTAAGAACTCTTAATAACAGGGCATTGTCAATTATGACAGTTGACTATTGTACTTAGACCTAGGAGAAGTAAAGTACCATTTGGAATCTACTTATTTTTATAGGCAGGATAGCCGAGCTAAGTTATTCTCTGAGAATATTTTGTTCCCAGGCACTGCACCCGAGGACGGGTGCTAGTCAGGGATGGCCGTGTCGTGGATTGATGGCGCCATTGTGCTACAAGCAGCGCCATCTAACAATTACCTTTGCAAATCAATATTATCGTTACCGGAAACGCAAGCGCGTCCCACCGCTTGGACACGATCGTCGGTAGAGGGGATGCAGCGAGGGCTAGAGAAGGAACGGAGTGTTGTGGCAGTCGAGTTCGGACAGCCGGAGCGGACGCTCGCTACCGACGCACGTGTTTGTTTCCCGTGTACAACTACTAGTCTAAATAAAGTTATTTTGATTTAAATAATCTTTCGCTCGTGTGCCCACATTTACGTAAAACCATGTCGGAGCGTGAAGAAAACCCGATGCTTCGCATCTCAGCCACCCATGACCCGACATCAGAAGTGGGATCTCCTGTTGTCATTTCCGATAGATATAAGATAATAAATTAGTGTTCATTTAGTGCTGTCGATATACGAAAAAGCATTTGGGAAATTTGGATGTCATTTTTTTCAGTACATACGCTGCTAAATATGCCAAGGTAGCAGTTTACGGTATTTAAAAAAAATTATATCTCAAATCCTTTTTCATATATCGACAGCACTAAACGAGCACTAATTTATTATCTTATATCATTAGGTGATAATTCATGTCGATGTCAATTTTTTCAGTACATACGCTGCTAAATATGCCAAGGTAGCAGTTTACGGTATTTAAAAAAAAATTATATCTCAAATCCTTTTTCATATATCGACAGCATTAAACGGGCACTAATTTATTATCTCATATCATTAGGTGATAATCCACTTGGATGTCAATTTTTTCTTTACATACTCTGCTAAAGATGTCAAAGTAGCAGAATTTATGATATTAAAAAATATATATATATTCTCAATATTTGTTTTTGCGTACATCGGCAGCACTAAATGAGCACTAAATTATTGATGCTTCTATTCGGTGCTGTATTAAGCGGTTATCGTTTTAATAGGTAGAACACTGCTACCTTAATTAAAAGCTAGCAGTTTTCTAATTTTTGATCAAGCTATTTTGGCGTGAAATTTAAATTTGCAGCACTAAATTAGCACTAAATGAGCACTAAATATTTAGCAAAAATTTAAGTGATTTTGCCCAAATGACCATTCCAGCTTAACAGACCTGGCATGGAAAAAGACTCAGAGTACCTGTTTATGACACATGCTAAATAAGTTTGAGCCCATGGGCACTAACGCGTGTTCTAAACGACCAAGACTCTGCGTCTCTTCTAGTACATAGTACATACAATTTCAATGCTCAATACTTTATTAACTTTATTTTTCAGTTATATAAATAATTTATGAGCGGTATATGGTCAGTTAAAGATTGGCCTCATACAATTAAGTAACATATAAGCCAAATTGGAAAATAGTATACTACAACTTATTTTTCACAAAAACTTTCTCGTGGCGTTGTTTCAGTTTTCATTCCTCTTATGCGACAGCTTGCATTTGGGATTATTTTGTTGTGTTTTCATTTACGTTGGCTTTACAGTTAAAGTAATAGAATATTTATTCAGAAAAAAATAATATTTGCTAAATTTTCTTTATTTCGAAAATACAAAAATTTTAATAATCACGATCCCATTATGAAAAAGATGTAAATTGAACTAAAACTCATCTTAAGTCGTATTCCTTGGGAAACACTATTGAGGTCGTTGAGTATATTACCAATCTCCTACCGCGATTTTGCCGTAATGACTATACTCGTAGCATCGGCAAATCGAAGATGAGTGACATACTCGCCATTACTGTTGATACCGTAGCTCAACGGATCAGCAGGCTGAAGTGGCAATAGGTTAGTCATTGAGCTTGAAGAACCGACAAACTATAGGGAAAAAAGGTTCTAGAGTGGCAGCCTTGTACAGGTAAGCAAAGTGCTCCATAGTAGATGGAGTGAGGACCTAGTGAGAGATTCAGGAAATCAATGGATGGATTTCTTAAAGAAAGCCAATGTTCAGAAGTGGACTTTGTTTTTTTTTATTGTTTTTAAAACCAATCAATCGTACCAAATTGGCGGTGCGATGACTTCGTTAGCAAGAGATTTTCATCAAACATAGCCAGTGTTTCCACGGTCAATACCAGCTGATGAACTTAATGCATATTTAAAGTCTAGCTTGAGAAAACACGTCAAGATACTAAATAAAATCAAGAATATGCGTGCCGAGTTGTAAAATGATTTATCTAGAGAAATATTTTCAAAACAACTTATTGTTATAGGTAAGATGCGTTAGCTTTCCCGACAACTTTATCAGTTTCTTGAATCAAAAACCGAACTCACTCAAAAGATGTTCCCAAACGTAGCTAAAATTACAGAGATATCAGTATCATACAGTTGATTTCGCTACTAACCAAGATGATTTCGTCATTTATCCACCCGAATTTCGAACTCACTGGATTTTCCAGTATTGCTGCTTACAAGGTATCTTCTTTTTAAAAATAAAATTCTTTAGCTCTATTAAACTGCCAGTAAGCGGCTGTTTCGATTCCCAATGTCTTTCAATCTTGTAAACGTAACACAAATGACTTGAAAGCAGAAGAGGGATCATTACACGTACGTAATTTGTAACTTCGCTCATCAAAATTACACGCATGTCCACACACAAATCCGGATTTAATTGAATAGCTTTTACCGATTTAGTCTAAGGAGTAACTGCTTAAAAGAAATAACCTGCATGTCTTTATGGTCTTTTGGCATGTAATTAAATTATAGAAAAAACACTTTAAATTTCGTTTACACACACTAGCACACACTTACATTTATTATTATTACACGTTAAATTTAACTAATTTTTACGGATTTTATCGCGTTTAATTTAACTTTTTAATTCCCGACGTTTCGGGTGCATTGCTGCATCCATGGTCACGGGAGGGGGGGGGGGGGGACTGAGGTGTTTGACGTCCCGATGTCATAGTTAGCCCGGCTACTTTCAGTTTTTGAATATTAATTACAGTATCAGTAATTTGGTAGAGCCATGCTGCAGCTATATTAGTAGTATAGTTGTAGCACGAATGGGTCGGCTCAACCGGGGAAGGACCACGCTCTCACAGAATACCAACGTCAAATAGCAGCTTGACGCTGCTGTGTTTCGTATGGTGAGTGTAGAAAACCGGAGACCCTTTTTACTGGAAAAGAGGCATTCTATCTTAGTACTCACGGGTGACAACGCATCTGCATTTTGATTCGCAAACGAGGATAAATGTAGATGTCTATGGGCTACAGCAACCACTTACCATCAGGTGGACTGTGTACTCGTTTGTCACCCTATCATATAAAAAAAATCTTGAAGTCGTGCAGTGGATGCTTGGGTTTAGATTTAATTTTATTGGATCCCGAGCAGGTGGCAGCACCCATCCATCTTCTCTATTTAAATAAGGATATTTATTCATTTCAATAGTCTCGAGAGTCATCCTTGGTAGGAATCGGTGTTCTTCTGCAAGGATTTGTGGTCTATCAAATCTAATGTAATGGCGGGGACGATCGTGATCATGTTCACTGACTGTGGACTTCCCGGAACGTCAGTGCTTCAAGTCAGCTATATGTTCTTTCACGCGGGTTTTTATAGATCCTTTTGTTTATTCTATGTAAGAGAGACCACATTAACAATACAGATTGTACACTCCTGCATCTTGTAGAGGGATATGACACTTGACGGATGGTAAAAATTTACTAATCTTCTTCGGCGGCTTAAAGTATGTTTTAATGGAAGCTCGCTTCAAGATGTAGCGAACCTTGTCTGTGACTCCTTTGACATAGGATAGTACAGCAGGCACACGATCGACTGTGATCGCCTTCACTCGGCCATTTAGATTTCACGATGCAAACGAAATCGGCTTTTCATGCCTGTCGGAACCTACTTGCGACAGTGTCGCACCCAAGCCAACCGGAGACGCATCTACAGTCAGGATTAACCTTGCTTCGGGGTTGAAGTTGACGAGTACCAGGTCTGATGCTAATAGCAGTTTTATTTTTGAATGCCTCTTGATGATCCAGACCCCACGACCATTTTACCCCCTTTTTTAGCAGATTATAAAGTGGGCTTAAAACAGACGCTGCACTTGGTACAAAGCTTCTATTATAATTTGCTAGGCCCAAAAACGATTGCAGTTGGCTTATATTTGATGGTGCAGGGGAGTCTACTATTCCTTTAATTTTATCTGGAGACTTTTTCAACCCATTTTTATTGATAACATAACCCAAGTAGCTAACTTCATCTTTATAGAACTCGCAATTCTCCCTTTGCAAGGTCAATCCTGCTTCTTGTAATGTCTGCAACACCGCCCGAATGCGTGCAGCATGCTCGGCATCGTTACGCCCCGTAATGAGCACGTCCTCCCGCAAACACAGCACGCCTTCCTGTCCACCTACTAGGCCCTCCATCGCGCGCTGCAAAATTGCTGGCGCTGGAGCATGCCCAAAGACTAGCCTAGTATACTTGTATAATCCACAATGAGTATTAATTACAGTGTACCTTTGTGACTCGTCATCCAGCTCAAATTGGTTATAAATCATAGATAAGTCTAATTTGGCGATTTTTTCCACCATAAAGCTTTGCAAACAATTCCTTGGCAGTTGGCAGAGGATACTGGTGGATATTTAATTGCCTATTAATACTAACCGAGTAATCGGCACACAAGCGAATAGTGCCATTTCTTTTTAAAACAGGGACTATAGGGGACGCGTCGTTTGTTAGTTGTTAGTCTTTTAATACCTGATTAGGCCAAAAAAGGTAATTTGTACGATATCCAATCAACGTTGGACTTCGTGAGTCGCACGATGGCACCAGGTGTCACGCGCATCGAGGGGAGGGGGAGCGGTAGGCAGCTTCCCAACGTGTGACGCTCGTGGGCGAGAGGGAGTAGCTCGCTGGCCGCGATGCGGGGAACCCGCGTATCTCGATTATCGCGGCCGAAGTTCACGCGACCGTGTAGGGTCCAGATAGTTAGATTTAGGCGTGTTAATTCGCTACGTGGATATGTGAATTTTGCAATATTTAACTTGTTCGGGTGGTGCGGAACTGTGCACGCGCGCGTCTAGTAGATATGCGGTCTAGGATTCGAACCGCGCATTCCTTGGTCGAGAGCGTCTCCCGGTACATTGTTTGGAAATCATTATAATTGTGCCGTCGCGTTAAGTGCCCTTTTTTGTGTGTTGGTTGGTTTGTTAGTTTACGTGTCAACGAGGCGTATTTTAAATTTTTTTCGCGACGTGGTGTTTTGGTGTCGAATGAAGGAACTTAGTTGTGTTTAACGCTGAACCGTATGACTCATTAAGAGATCGCGTTAGTTCCCTATTTATTATTTTGTGATAAGTGAATCTGGAACATTGAATGTCGAATTTTGAACTACTGTCCTTACTGTGTCGGGTATCACGTGTTGGATTCTACGATGAATGTGAAATTAGGCGAACTTAAGTTAGTTAAATGTACAATGAAGGTAATAGACTGAAAAAGTGACAATGAAGAAAGAAACAGCGGTGGAGCCTGCTGGAGCGATGCAGCATTGTGGGGCAGCCTGAAACTCGGCCGCTGCTGGTCGCCTAAGCTGGTCCAGGTCTCAGACATTTACACATCACTAAACACTACTCATGGGGGGTATATAGCACTATGCTCAATGACCTTAATAGTGTTTCCCAACGGATAGGTCTTAAGATCAACATGGACAAAACAAAGATCATGTTTAATGTCAATGTCACTCCTATGCCGGTAGTTGTTGGGAACACTAAGCTCGAAGTTGTTGACGAGTATGTTTACCTGGGACAAATAGTCCGACTAGGTAAGTCCAACTTCGACCGAGTGGTCAATCGACGGATTCAACTCGGTTGGGCAGCGTTCGGGAAATTACGGCACATCTTCTCGTCAGGTATACCTCAAAACTTGAAAACGAGACTGTACACCCAGTGCGTGTTGCCAGTGATGACATACGGAACTGAGACGTGGTCCTTCACTGCTGGCCGGATGAGGAAGCTCAAGGTCGCTCAGCGAGCTATGGAGAGGGCTATGCTCGGAGTTTCTCTGCGTGATAAACTCAGAAATGAGGATATCCGCAGTAGAACTAGAGTGACCGACATAGCCCAACGGATTAGTAAGCTGAAGTGGCAATGGGCCGGCCATATAGCTCAAAGAACCGACAACCGATGGGGAAGAAAGGTTCTCGAATGGCAGCCTCGTACCGGCAGGCGAAGTGTAGGGCGTCCCCCCACTAGATGGAGTGACGACCTGGTAAGATATGCAGGAAGTCGATGGATGCAGGTGGCTCAGGACCGTGCTTTGTGGCATTCTTTGGGGGAGGCCTATGTTCAGCAGTGGACTTGTGAAGGGCTGTAATGATGATGATGATGATGAAACACTTCTTGCCATGCACCTCACACCTACTTACGGCCTACGGATCTAAGAGTCGAAAACAGGTACGTACTATATTTCCCTAGCCTTCTCCCATATAGCTTAGAATTATAGGAAATTCTTCCATATGGCCTTTGGGCCCGATCCGTGTCTGCCCGTCCAGCAGGCTGCTATGGGCCCCAGCCTGGGCTACCTTTGCAGGGGCAGCTGCGGTCCGTAACAATACACCTAACTCAACCATTCACCGTTTATCTTATTCCGTAGGGCAAATGCAATCGGTCTCGCTTTAAAGAGAACTGGTTTTGCATTATCTTTTAACTTTAAGTGCACCATATGTTTGGTAAAACGACATAATTTATCAGAAAAAAGAACTTGAAATTAACATTGCAGTTTTTCCACGGAGGATAGGGTACCCTGACAGTAAATCACCGTTGATTAAACTGATGATAACGGACGACGTACACCTTGAGCGTGTGTGAGCTGTTAGTATAGTACACGGGCAACCGAATTGTGCCTACACATCATGTTATGCTATCACCCGTGTAGCTCATCAACTTTTTATGAGGAACAATTAATGGAATATACTTTATAATGAAATTTATATAATTTTTCCGGTATCACAGTTACGGCTATCTTTTTCAAACTTAAACGCCGTTCCACGAATAAACACGGTCTCGACCATCGTTTCACCCCGCAACGAACGAATTTTAAATACCTTACCATCCTCACCGATGTTATCGTCTCCGGCTCCATTATCTACGTAGTTAACTTTATTTGACGTACACATTCTACCTAGATGGCCTACGACGTTACATTTCCTAGTAACGAAATCCGCGTACCGGCACTCCGAATCCTTGTGGTTCGTATAGCCACACACTTTACACTTTTGTTTTACCGAAAGATCACTTTTGACACTTCTTGCACCTTATCTATTGGTCTAATCTTGTACAACGCGCCAGTAGAAGCTGTGGTAGCGTCGGCTGTACTGGCATTGGCGATTGCATCTGATTTCGCACAACGGACGTTTTCAGCAAATTATGGAGCTTTCGTGAGAGTTAGATTTGTAATATCTTGGGCGTAAAGATTCTCTTTCTCAAGACTAGGCATCATTCCCATAATGAACAGGTCTCGTAGGGCCTCTTCTATATTATGGAAAGCGCAGCGTGACATAAGACCACGCAGTCTCGCGGCCCACTGTGAATGTGTTTCACCGGGTTGCTGCGATGCTGCATAGAAGTTGTGTCATTCCGTGAAACTGACAATCTTTGGGTTAAAATTGATGTCGAATATTCGTAGGATGTCATTGTAGGGCACCTCCTGCACGTCCTTGGGTAAGGCTCAATTCTTAGCGAGCCTATAGGCACCCTCCGAGAGTGCACTTAGCAAAATTGCTCTTCTCTTTTTCCCGCTCGGATCCGTTGTATTATTAATTTTATTTGCCAAGAACCACTAATTTGTTCAGCTTTTATATGTTTTCCGCTCCTGTATATCGTGGTTAAAACTGTATAATATTACAAAATGTGAATTAGACATTTGTAATTACTTTTTACGCGGGTACTCGTCGCCTATGTTATGTATACGGTCAGGGAGCGAGTTAAACGGCCGGTAGCTTGCTATGCACTGGTTTTTTAACAGAGGGCGCGTGGGCACAGCCACGCATTGTAATACGTAGGTATACAAATGTATATATATACATAACATAAACATTCTCCGACAAATAATCTTCATAACACTATTTAAAATTTGGAACTTACAAAGTCAACCTTCTTTATTGTTTTATTAAATAATCTAAAAGACTATGTATGTAACAGTCGCTAAATACTTTAAAGGTTTCTTTCTTTTAATAGAAGAGGAAGCAAACAAACATGCAGCTCCCCTGATGGTAAGTGTCGACCGCCGCACTTGAACATCTGTAACACCAGGGGAATGTAACGGCAGGTGCGTTGCCGGCCTTTTAAAGTGCGGGTTAACCTTTATTTATTTTATAAGAATAATAACAAACTTTATTTCAGAAAAAGATCCATAAATTGGTAAAATCCAAAAAATGTAATGTTACTAACATTACATTTTTTTTAATATTTACTGTTAGTAAAAATTGCTTCAAATCTAAAATAAAAAAATATCATATAATTATAAAAACAATATCAAAAATTACTTAAATTACTTATTTAAACGATACATTTTATATTATTTACTACGATTTAAAATTTTACCGCTTATGCATGTGCAGGCGAATCCAGTGTTTTAAAAGCGGAGCGTCCCAACTATCGGCCAAAGTGCCGAAAAAGAAGGGAGGCGTATCTCTTTATTCCCAATAAATTACTCTAGGTACGAGAGGCGTAATATAAACGTTACATTATCAATCGAATATAATCTTACATTAGATTCGGCTAAATATGGATATAAGAGCAACAGGAGTGGACTTTGATAATAATTAATGAATGAATAAGCGAACATGATGAACCAAAGTACCTTTACCAAACATTTTAAAGTAAAAATAAATGTATTACGTGGTAGAGCCACTATATATATATATATAAACTGTTTTTCGGCATCCCATCTTAGACCTCACGGCTGACAACACATATGCATTTTGATTTGCAAACGAGGATAGATGTAGATGTCTATAGGCCACAGCATCCACATATCATCAGGTGGACTGTGTGCTCGCTTGTCATCATCAAATATTAAATATAATACATAAAAATGGACTAAAACGAATTAGTTCTAGGTTATCATATATTTTTCATACAACTTATGAATACAATGGTACGAGGTATCGCAGCTGCAAATGGGAAAATAATAAATATCTTGACCAGACAACGACGAACGGCACGAAAACTGCAGCTCCAAACGGATTTGAGCAAGCACTGCTTGTGGACGTAAGAGTTTAAATTGATCGCTGCAACGTTTTTCTGTCATATTTCTACACGAATATTTTTAAATTTTTAAATATTTGAATTTTCCTCTTTTCTTTTCAAGCAGTTCTATAAAAAGGGTTAATATAAAAATAAAAATCTTCATCAAATTTATATTGGCCCCATATAAATTTGATCTAGATTTGACCAGTAGTTTTGGAATTTTATATGGGGCCACAGAAATGCTCTAGTTTTCAAATAAAAGAATAATAATTAAAAATCGGTTCACCGTTATATCGTAAAACACATAAAAATACAGTTATTTGAAGTGAGAACCTCCTCCTTTT